CTGCAGGAGGCCAAGGTGCGGCTCATCGATGTGCAGCTGTGCAACAGCAGCCGGTGGTACGCGGGGGCCGTGCACCCCCACGACCTGTGCGCTGGGTACCCGCGGGGCGGCATCGACACCTGCCAGGTGGGAGCGTGGCACCAGCCCCTCAGCCCCGGCAGCACAGGGACCCCCTGCCCCAAACATGGCATGGGCTGGGCCTGGCCTGGCACCCTCCCAGCCCCAGGACCCACCACTGACAGGGCTGTCCTGTCCCATCTCCCCTATCCCAGGGCTATCCTGTCCCATCTCCCCTATTCCAGGGCTATCCTGTCCCATGTCTCCCATCCCAGGGCTGCCCTCCCCTTCCCCAGCTGTGAGTCTGGTGTCCCCTTGTCCCCAAGGCCTGGCTCAGCCCACAAAGCCCATCCAGTGCTCCTGGCAGCACCGAGGTGTGGATGTGACCCTGGAGCATCCGTTCTCTGCACATCCATGGCCACTGTGTTGGGATGGGAGAGGGTGCAACCTTAACAAGCCCCTGACCTGCTGCCAAGGCTCTGGAGGCTCCAGCCCCCAAGCAGAGCCTTCCAATGCTCTGGTAGGGGCTGGGAGAGAGGAGCAAGCCCTGCTGTTGCTGAGCCCTCTCTCCTGCCGCAGGGGGACAGTGGGGGTCCCCTCGTCTGCAAGGACAACAGAGCCGACTACTTCTGGCTGGTGGGAGTGACCAGCTGGGGAAAAGGCTGTGCTGGGGCCAAACGACCTGGAATCTTCACCTCCACCCAGCAATTCCACGACTGGATCCTGCTCCAGATGGGATTGCTCCCAGCAGTAACAGTGACCCCAATGCCAGGGCCAACCACTGCCTCGACTCCTGAGCAGAATCCAGAGCAAGGGGCCAGCCCGACCCCTACGGGGACACCGATGCCAACAGAATCAGGAAATTCTACAGCCATTTCACTCCAACAGCAGATACTGGGGCAATTCTTTAACCTGCTCCTGGAGCTCCTGGAGTTCCTAAGGGGCAAAATGGATTCGTCAGAAGGATGAGCAGATCCAGTGCTGGCTGCAGTGGACCGAGACCACGTGGGGCATCGACTATGGGGCCAAAGGCTGCCTCAGTGCCCAGGGCTGCTCTGTCCTGCCCACACTCCTCCCCAGAGCCCACCCCAATGGTGAAGTTTTTTGTTATCGAAATAAAGTTGTTTGTTAACAACATTAACCATGTTTTCATCCCAATTCAGCCTCCTGTACAAGGTAAGGACGCCACGATCTGTTAAACAGAAGTGATGGTGGGGAAATGAGCGGGCTTGGCCCGTTTTGGGAGGAGACAAGGGCAGAGACAGGGAGGAGTGGAGGGAGGGGATGGGGAAGTGGCTGAGCCCGGCAGGTGGAGAGAAGGGACATCAACACCAGTGCCACACACAAACTGCTGAGTGGCTGCTGCTGGCACTGAGCCCTGCACCCAAACCCCACGGGCTGCCAGAGAAACTCCTCCAGCCCAGGTTTCCCACAGCACAGCCTCGGGTGTCCCATTCCTGGGAAAAGCAACTGAAAGCCGGAGCAGTGCAGCACCAGGAGCAGCTGGAGCGGGGAGTGCTGGAGCCACGAGGGCCATGGGGGTGCTGGAGGATGGCCACCCTGAGCTGCTGCTGCCCACCCAGACGTGTCCCCTCTGCACCAAGGTCCTGCCCCTGGGGCTGCCGGGACCCCCCATCCCACCCTCCGGCCCAGGGGGGATCTCTGGATCCGGGACATGCCCTCTGCTCCTCCTGGATGGTGGCTCCAAGGGGCTGTGGTGGCTCTGGAGAAGATGCTGGAGCCTGGTCCCTCCCAGGACTCCTCAGGGCTCCTGTCAAAGGCTGAACATCCCCCATGGAGCACAGGCCCTGCCCTGCACTCCTGGCAGGGTTGGGGGTCTCCCTGACCCCCCATTTGCTGCCCCAGCACCCCGTTAGTCCAAGGGGTGCCCGAGCTGGGGCTATGGGGCAGCTCTGAGGCTGAGCTTGGTTAGTTGGGCTGGGGGGTCTGGTGGGTTTGGGGTGTCGGGGTGTCCCTGTGCAGCCCTGGCTGAGGGAGAGCCTGGAACAGGCCCAGGCTCCAGGGAGGCATCACAGGAGCCCTGATCCTGCAGCCCAGGGACTCCATGGCATGAGCCAAGTGAGGCACAAGGTCCCAGCCCATGGATCTCCCCAGTCCCAGCTGGTTCTGCTCCTCAGGCACACGGCTCCAGCCCCACAGCAGCCTCCAGGCCCAAGGCCAGCCGAGCCAGCCCCCAGGACTCACCTTTCCCAGCTGAAATAGCACCAGGCTCCGGTCCCAGCCATGCAGGGCCAGCATGGGATGCAGCCAATCCATTCATCCATTCCC